TGAAGGTTGGCTGTGTATACCATAGAACCATCTACACATGATTGTCCTATGTCTGGTTCTCAACTACCCCATGCCCAGGCCAGACGAACCTTTGTAGCCTCAGGCAAGCAGATAACGATTCATTTTCAGGGAGCCATAGCGATAGGCCATATAAAGAATTTTGACCATGGCTCATACGGTCGCGTTTTGTTTTTTTGGAGGTTCCCCAAATGGTGGCTTTCCGTTTCTGTTTCCATTCAAAAAAGCAACCAAAAGGGTAATTACCATCAAGCAAAAGACACATCTATAAGGAGTTTTGACAATGGCTCATATGAACTTGCACACTCCCCTGCAAATTAACATGGATCCCGAAAACAGATTTCCCGAGGTTTTTGGGGGTTCCGTGTTAATGTGCAGGGGTGTAGCCCCTGAACCGGGCCGGGCGCTCAGGTGGCCTTGCGCGCGTTGTGCTGTATGGAGCACCGCGGCGCCTGCAGCGGCGGCATGGAGAGCAACTCCGATTTGAGAAAAGCTGAAAAACTTGCACGCGGACAGCGTATAAGAAAGCACCTATATATATATATATGCATAATTTGAACGTATGTAGGAGGGCCCTCGAAGACAAGCAAAAGGGTGTTCGGTAACTTCACTCCGCCCGGTGCCCCCCCTCTTAAACCGGGCTGGCATTTTGTTGTCCGTGTTTCGGGGCGATTGGGGTTCCCTCTTGCTCGCCCCTTTCAATCTTACTTGCGGGGGTTGGTTCCCAACCAAGCAAAACCGCAACTCAGATCAGCCTGAAGTTGCAGAGTAAATGGGATGGTTTGCGTCGCCCATAAAGCCGCAGTTACAAGTTGGCAACGACCAGTGACTAAGTACAGGGACCTCACGAACAGAAGATTTCTGCACACTTTAGGAGGGTCCTTGTATCTCCAAACCAGCGGGGTGTCTGAAGGGAATGTGACGTTTCCTAGTTGACTCTTGGAATCGTGACTTAGAATTGGTTGGAAGTGCCCCTACAATCCTGTTCCAATTTTTCGTGGCCTTGTAGGGTCCGGGGCTCAATGCTGCGCTGCGCGCCTGAGGCAACATCTCGCGACTCGGATGGACGGGTCGGGCGATGGCGACGTGGTTGACATTCAGAGTGCCTGGTGGTTCATCCCACTTGACGTCCGGAAAAATCAGCATGGCCCCCTCCAAATCCCCACCCCTTCAACATGAAATTGGGGAGGGGGTATTTCGACCCTGGAGATCTCCATGTCCATTTTCTGCTTTGGCAAGGCTGGAACCATGGAAGCGGGACCCACCACTCGACTTAAGGGAAGATGTTCAGGTGCTAATGAGCAGATCGTCTGGCATCTCTGCCCGTTGACGGCCTTGAAGAGTGACTGAGTGGGATGCAAAGAGACGCTGAGACATGTGAGGTGCAAAGTTGCTTCAGATCGTGGGATGTCATTTGCCGTCGATGTTGTACAGAATCTGTGTTTGTTTTTGACTTTCTGATGTTGATGGCTTGGCCTTACCGTTTTCGACAGTAAGTGTTTACTGGTTGGGCCCATGAGCCCATCCTCAAAAGCTCTTGGAATCGGAGCTTTCCGTTTGAATGTTCTCTTGGCCGGCAGGGCATGGCGAATCTTTTCGTGGAGTCGGTCCCTGTTGCGAGGTTGCTACGAGAAGCCCAAGGGAACAATCAGCCATGTTGGAGGTTCCCCTATCCCAGTTGTTCAGCGGATTCCACCCTCGAAATCCCTTCAGCTTGGCCCCCGCCTACAAATGGTCAAGCAAAAAATCGGCTCACCCTTTTCCGAACTGCTTGGTGGGCCCCCGAGCAGTTGAGACCACCCCCAAAAAAGAGAGCTCTAAGGTACAGGGGATTGCCTGCACCAAAATCGAGCCCCAAGATTCCATTGGGATATGGGGGGGTGCTTCGTCTGTCTCTTATAGGGCACTTCCAGTATTTGTAAATGCCTGTTGGAAGGGCCAAAGTGCTTTGTCATGGACGGTCTCAAGGATTCCAAAGGCCCCGCAAGCCTTTTGCAACCAAAACCTTTTCCATACCTACAAAGGTGATCGACCTTGGGGGGGGGGGGGGGCTTTGGAGCAAGGGCCAAAAGTCCCAGCTTCCGACCCCCAACCAACCTCTCACTGCCCCGGGACGGCGGCGGCTGGGGCCGATGATGCGCCCGTGCGCTGGAGGCTTTGTGGGGGGGACGACAGCGGGGACGGCGCAGGCATCATGACCCAGATTCCGCCCGGCGCCCGAGTTGCTTCCGACATATCCATCTTGAAAATGGAAATTGGGAGAGGGGGGGTGAACTCTGGAATTTCATTCATTTCATTGCCCACTTCGGTTGGACGGCTAGATTAGGACAATGGGAACCCCGCGCACCCCCTCAAGCTGGGGGGATGCAAGATGAGGTATTGCGAAGTCATGGTTACGGAAAAGTGCGTTTGGGGGTGCCACTTTGCGTGACCAGCTCGCCAAGGGAACTTCTTTGAAGTGACGATGCAGCAGGCATGGGAATCCCACTGAGATATATGACAGAAAAGTGTATTGTCCACAGTCATGTGCGAGGTCCCACCCAAGTTCCTTTCCGAATGAGTAAGCTGCCGATTCGTTTTGTTGGTCTCCAACAAAATACCACTCAAGAAAATACAATGTTTCTTCAAAGGGAGTTACATTATTGAAGCTGCAAGATGCTGGTTTTGACATGTTTCCCTCTTGGAGGGGAGTCCCTTTCTCAGGGATGCAGTGTGAAAAGGCCCGACCTACTTCCCCTGGCCGATCTACTTCCCCTGACCCAGAGCCTCTGGCATCCGAAAAGCAGGACATCGGCAGAAGCTGGAGAGTGCCCACCCCGTTTTGGCCTAATTCTTTGAGATCTCGATTGACATGATGCTACAGTTGAAGGTTGACAAAATACCGACCAGAATCAAACATATATCATATGCACTAGTTTTCTTTCTTGTGAGTAGCAATCAGTCAGCACACTCCTTGGGACATCTCCGTGCTCACTGTACCCGCTGGCTGGGTAAACAGATGGTTTCTCACCGTAGATAATCTTCAAGGAGCCTGATTTGCATTATATTTGTTAGGTCCATGTGGTTTTAGGGGTAACAGCTGATAAATGACCCAAGAGCTGAGGTGGGAGCTGTTTGGTGCAGACGTGAGCTTGCCAGAGGACAAGAGCGCCTGCGCGGTCGGCATGCTGTTCCTCTCCAAGGAACGGGTCTTTGGGTCCGGTCGGGGTGTCTACGTTGCTAAGTCTGACAAAGATCAGGGGACGAGCCCTGACATTGCCACGTCCTGGAAGAACAAGACATGGGCCGTAGTGAGGCTGTCGACTCGGTGATTCGCCTGGGATTGGTTGATTCCGAGGTAAAGAAGCAAAGCACTTGTCTTTGGGTCTTTGGAAGAAAACTGCGGGACGTTTCGTGGGCCGAGCGACACGTGAACCATTTGGCTCGCTTGAAAGGGCACGACCAGAAGCTGCACCTCAGGACCGTGACGTCCGCATCAACGCGAAGATGAAGCTGGAAAGCTCATTGACGCAGGAGCTGGTAGCTTGTTTTTTTTTTTTTTTTTTTTTTTTTTTTTCCGGAAGCTAATAGTTTCCCCTGAGTTTTTGTTAATAATTTTTGGAAACTACACATCACCCCGGGAGCGTGGGTGTTTCCAACTGATATGTTATTCGTCTGGAGGGGCATGTTGACTCAGGGTCCATAACGATCTGGGCTATTTCAGGCGCAAAGCTTCACTTTTGGACGAAAGCACTATAAAGCTCCGCCACTTTGATTAAGCAGTTTTTCCTTTAACACCGAATGCCAAGCAAAGTTGACACTGTTTGTGGACAGGTTTTGACCCGGCCTCCAGCTCCAAGTTCCCCCCAACATAAGCTTTTCGGGACGCGCCCTAGGTTTCCCATGTTTGTAACAAATGCCCTGTTGTAATGTGTTTTTTGTTGTCGTTTTCGCATTTCTTTCTAGATTTTAGTCAATTGTTAGGAGGCTGATTAGAGTGGCAAACAGACAGATTTCCGGGTCCAAGCTCGACTGGAAGGGAGTTTTTTCTCTTGTTTGTTGGCTTCCCCGCTAAAAATGGGCATCCTAGGATAGGGTTCCCTTTTGCAAGGGCTACTGACTCGATGACCAGCTTGGCAGCCGCCTTCTTAATCCTTTACATGGCTCTGGGTCGACCATTTAATACCAGGTGTTGCTCATCGACTCGGGAAGCGAGTTGTGTTTGAAGACCTTGGGTCCGTTTGAACCAAGACCGAAAGACCCCAGGAGGGCTTCGACATCCTCGGGTACCGCATCGTCTCCGTGGATCCCACGGTTCTCGGCGCATTCCTCGGATCGAGCAAGAAGTTTGGGGCCTGTCCAGGGGTGTCTTTGATTGATATTCTACATTGTTGTTTTAAGGGGGGAGGGACATCATGAACATTTTACGTGGGCTTCTGTGTTTGGAGACGAGCACACGTTTCTTTCGCCTTAAAAGGTGGCTTTAAATATTACTTCTTGGAGCCATTTAAATGCGGCTCCTTTTGCTGGGTTGATGTCGAAGGAGCATGAGGATCAGCAAATGGGGGAATGAACCTTTAGAAAAGGTGTTTGATTTGTTTGATTTTCCTTATTGATTTTAAAGGGATATGATGATAGCTGGTGACTACACCACCATCAAGATGACAGTTTGCCCTCTTGGTATCGCCATGCAAGTGAAAGAGCATTTCCGGAGCGGTCGATTGTTCCACCTGCAAGACGTTGGAATACAGTAGATCTATGATTTGAACCAGGGCGAACCTTGACTGTGCCGCGTCTGCCACACAAAAGACACAAACTGGCCCGCAGCCCTAAGAGGGCAAAGCTTTCGGCCTCTTGAAGTATCAGAGACGCCTTGTACAAGCAGATGGGATTGGCTTGCAACTCCTAGACTAGCCCGCATAGGATGATGGGTGTTTCCTAACTCGGATGGCCCTGACAATTGGTGGGAAACCGCCTGCCTTTGGCTTTCGCTTTGGCACGGAGCCCTCAACTCTAAGGGCCCCCATTGGTGGAATATTACTGGGTCTGCATAGCCCACAATTATCAACTTGCTAAAAAGAAGCCAATAGGGGATGTGTTTTTGTTGCATTTATCCAGACCTCCTTTTGAGCATTCGGATTGCACTAACCCCAAGCTACTATCCCAGTGACTGGCTGCCAGGTTGGTGGGATACACAACCATGGTATAGCCACTATATAAACTTACGCCCTGAATTACTGCACTTTTGACTTTTGGGGAAGACCGTGCAAGTGGCAAACAACAAGTTTAGACCTTTTTTGGCCAATCCAGCCGACCGGAGGTGAGCAAAGGGTATTGCCGAGGCCAGCGATCTGCGCAGACAGAGCCCTGGATGGCGCGGTTTCCAAGTGAAGTGCATCGCCACATCAGACAAGCGTGGAATCCAGAAAGGGACTCCCCCAAAACGCGGCAAGTTTCCTTTGCTTAACCCTCCCCCCCCCTCGGAAGGTCAAACTTCAGATTGGTTGTAGGTGGCCGCTCTGCGGCATTGAGGACGCGAAGACTAGATAAAGTGACAACGTTCTAATTGGCCCAAAATGGAACTCGGTTTGTTTGTGCGGGAAAGTTGTTCAGCCGAACGCGCCGTACTGATTTGGGGTGGTCCCGGAGGCCCGCGTCAGAATTTAGCTGGACCCCAAAACGCGCCAAAGTATTCGGTGGCATTTACTAATCCAATGTTAACCTTGATCTTGTGAAACAATGCTTCATTTAGCAATTTAATGAGCGATCCTGGGTAACAACGAGGGAAAGTCATGATGTATTTCAGGTTTTGGATTTATGGTAAACAAATGCATGAAGTCTTGTTTGGAAGGGGGCGGTCGTACCTGGACCCAATGAGAGAGACCCTTCCAACTTCAGACGTGTTCCCTGGATATGCCATCGACATGTCAAGGTGTTCTTTTGCCGTACGTGTCCAACATACTCACGGACAGGGAAAGGAATGGCTTGGCAAGGATTCATAAACTGGCCCTGTTCATAGGGAAGCGTTCCCCTCCCAAAATGATGAATCCCCACAAGAAAGGGGGACACTCCGATATTAATTGTCCAAGGCTATATTAATCCGGGGTTCCCATTATGATGTGCTGTTTTATTCCCGTGACCTTGTAGGGCCACGGCTCGGACGGGCGGAAGGAAGTCAGGGGACCCAACAGAAAAGGTTCTAGAACATAACGGGTTGCGATCACTTGCGCCCATAATCATGTGAAGCATCCAAAAGGAACCCATTCTCACTTGCCCAAAGCGAATCGACCTGTTGACCTGCCGGTTTCCCTGAGCTGGTCCATTCTTAGTCACGGTTCCAAAAGGTGATCACCTTGATTTCTGAGTCGTTAGGGTCGTCCAAATTAGGATACACTCGGGGCTCTTTTCGGCATCCCCTCACGGAGGCCCCAAGGTCCAAAACGGGAGATTCCCCAAGCATCGTCAGCGCAACTTGCGGTAAAGCACCGGGTGCCTTCCTCCCCTGCTAGCAACATTGCCCCAGTTCAGTGGCTCCAACTCAACGATCCTCCAGCCCAAGTGGGTCAATTCTCTTGCCAGGTCACTGAACGGGGTTGCGGGGGCGAGGAGCGGTCTATGCCAGGAGCAGATCTTCGTTTCGCACCCCACAGCTCGGGGCCCTGAGCTGGAGAACCTCCTGTGCCCTCGTTTCTCTCGACCGAAATGTGGGTTTTCCTTTCAGTCCCTTTTCGGTTGGCTTTAAAAGCCAGCCATGTTTGGGGGTTTTCAGGGTTTGAGCCAAGCCCAAGGGCCCACATGTGGCTGGGCCCTAAGGCTTTGGATTCTTTGGATCCCAAGCCAAAAGGAGCGCATGAACATAGCCCTCCCCGGCTGGGTTTGCAAAAAGGTTCCGAAAACGCTGGAACGATTCGATTCCCGAACGCAAATACCAAACAAACAACCGTTTGAAACATGGTGTCATTTCGTGGTGCGAAATGGATTTCGAAACCATCCGCAGTATTATCGGGTTACCCGCTCTTTTGACACATCGCCATGCCCTCGAACAGGGTAAATTAATTTGGAGAGCCCCCTGTCAGCGCCCCAATGGTTCCGTTGTTGAAGGGAGCTTTCCTGTTTGCCTTGCCATTCCAAGAGGGATCCTTCCCATCAGAAAGCAGCCCTCAATTCCGCGAGGTTTAGTCACGTCACCACCCGTAAGAAACAAAACAAGAACCACCAAAAGGAGAGGCCTGAAGATGCAGGGAAAATAACAAGGCACGGTTTGGTGTAAATTGACGGCTGAGCGCTCAGACCATGAGAACACTTTTTACGAACTAAACTCTGGTTTATGTAAGATTTGCTTGCTAAGCATCGCTTCAATACGGGGAACCCAAAATGGCGATGCACTTCATTCAGGCTGTGAGCAAGGACAATCCTTTGTATATGGCTTTCTCTTGGACGCTCGCAGTACACCACACAAGAGGGGCCCAATGGCCATGAAAGATGTAGGGCATCCGCGGGACTTTGTTCCAGGTACATCGCGCGCAAGCGGGTAGAGGACCGGCTCTCCTACGATGAGCTCTATGTAGCCTCCCTTTCTCCCAAGACCATTGTGTACAAGGCGTGGGTCCGAACATAGGCGCAGGGATCCTAGCCGCCTGCGCCTTTGTTTCCCCAAATTTTGCCAGTACACCCTCTGGCTTTGACAGTTTAGCTGGTGGGATGTGGAATTGAGGCCAAGCAACTTGCAGTTTTATTGCTCCCTATGCTTGCCATATCTAGAGAACGCACTTCTGTAGCCCAACCACCTGCAGCTCCTGCTGATGCTGGCTCCCGGTGATTGATGGGGTGGCCTGAGAGAAACTCACCGACAACAACAGTATAGGCACTTTCAATTGGAGACCACAATTAGCCAATATATTCCTATTGAATTGCCTACTGAGTTGGTAATCTTTAATTTTTTTGTCGGTAGCTTTGTTCATCATTTTAGCACAGCCCTCAGAAAATTCAATCGTTTCGTGGTGTGGCCAGTCAACTCAGCAGGCCAGTTGATTATCCCATGTCTTCAACATTTGTGGTTTTTCGTGTTTTGCGTTGGGCGAGGGGGGGGGGGGGAGAGAACTCCTCGTCAGATGTGTCGACCCGTTTGGAAAGGTCGCGCCCTTCCCGTTTTCGGCATCTGGACGGGGTTGAGACAGGGCTGAGGGGCCTTGCATGTCACAGAGAGGCGTGCCACCCAAGAAGCACTGCCCCCGAAGCTCCGCTGTTAGGGCTCATAACCCTTCTTCTACCAATCAAGGCCAAATAAGGTCTTGCGGCCTGCAATGGGCTTTGGCACCCCACCTCTGGTGGACGGCTTATCGACGGTGCGGCAGAGAGAGAGAGAGAGAGAGAGAATGCCAACTAAGGCAAACAAATGCAGATTATCTCAAACAAGGCGGAGATAAGGCACTAACAGCTGCAGAACCCTTTGGGGGTGGGCACTGTAGGCCTCGATCCGATGAATGCCTCGCGCAGGGCATGCTGAAATCCTCGGCCATTACACGCTACTACAAGGCACGGACACGGGCTACGCAGGGTGGAGAACTGTCTGCGAAGTTGCTCCGAGCAAATAGGTTCAACTTGGTCATTCAATTTCCTTTGACACTTGTCTCAGCCAATTAGGATAAAGTTTTCATTGAAGGGTTTCGGGTTAAGTTTGCGTTGGCACAGTAGTCAAAGTTGTGACCAAACCACCAGGGTAGAAATCCGATGCGTTTATCGTCCATTTCCAGGAGACCTTCCCTGTGAAGGGGTCGAATGGGAACAATGGGGCCAAGGTTGGCCCACGCCATGGTCCAAACACTCAAACATCCTGGGGCAATGTTTTTTTTGGGGTTGGGGGGGGTTCCGGCATAAGGAATGACCAAGTGGTTTCTCAAAGCCATCAAGATCTAGTCATCCCATTCCAAAGTGCAACCAGTGATTGTTGAAGCACTCTCCTGGCCTGTAGTTGTTTTTCTTAGGGCGTCAAGCTTCAGACAAGGTGACAGGCTTGACTGCTACCCATCGCCGCCTTGTGCCAGGATTTGAACGACCCACGTTTCAAGGTCCAGTACGCCTTGTGGCAGCACGGCAGCATATTTGCCGGCAGGGCGAAGCACTTCATCTTTCGCCCTGAGGCACCGAGTCCAAGCTGAAGGCCAAAGGTTTTCGCCCGGTACTCGTGGTTTGGTGTTTTGCCTCCTTTCGCAAAGCAGGCAAGGCATCAAGACAAGCACCCGCGTGGCGTGGTGGGTGAAATTTCCGGAGGGAGACATGCCGCTTCCCTTTTCTTAACCCAGTTAGATTGCGTAGGCCCCATCCCCATCCACATCCCCGCTTTAGGTGACGGGAAGTGGCCGTTTGGAACTGGTTGCTTCAAGCCCCTGGGGACGGCTTTCAAGGGCAATCAAGAGGACACACACTTTTTGAATTCCCAAATTCGAGTGTCTCCAATGGATTTCAAGCCTATGAATCATGTTGACCCCTGATTTCTATTCCCCCATGCAGTCAATGCTCAGAGTCAAGGAAAGGAGAAGACGGGAATCCCAAGTGTCAAGCCGGAAGGTTCAGACCTCCAGTGCTGCCCGGGGGGATTCCCTTTCTTTTTTTTGGCCGGGGGGGGGGGGGGGCGGGTTTGGGGGGGTTCTTTGCCTCGTTCATGTCAGTATTGCTTTGCTCATGGGTTGCGAGTCTGCACGGGGTTCCCGTCAAACCAACAACCCAAACAGAGGGTCGTCTTCTGAAGTGTCGATTCCCCCCACCACGCGACGTGAGGCACCGCAGGTTCAGCACCAACACCATGCCGCGATGGCCTTTGGCGCAGCCCTTCCGCCGCTGGGACCCGGGGGGTGGGGAGTCTTCAATCCGCTCTTCGAGTCGTCATTGTTTTTATTATGTTTAATTGTTATTTGTGATTATTGTTATCATTAATTATCCTTATGTTGTTGCTATTTCCCATTATTGTTACCAATATTTTCTTTACTGTTGTTACTATTGTTATTATTATTCTTATTTGTGTTACTATTCGCTTACCATCCCGAAGAGGTTTTGCTGAATGACTGTCTCCAACCTTACTTGGTGATGGTGATTGGTGGTTTGGAGGGGGAAGCTGACCAAGAGGGTCCTTAAAGGATATTTTCGGATATATCCAAAAACCACCCGTGCTTTACAAGGATGTTGATCTCTAAACAGCTGATGCACAAGTGTTTCCCCTAAATCGGTGGAATCCTGGCCAAGCAGCCAAAACAACCGCAGGGATTCTGTCCAAAGTAGGGCAGTGTTTGAATTTCCCACAAAACAGCGAACTTGATTGTACAAATGGAACCTTGCGTGGGATCTCTTTCTTCAGGTCATGAAATCATTCCAAAATCGCAGATGTGTTGACTACCCACAGGGCGGACTCAAATCCAGGAGTTCCCTTTTGGGCTTTAAACCTGCCAGTGGGTTTCAGATAGTTTGAGTCGTCCTTCAGGCAACCATGGACCGGAGGGGAGATTCCGAAAAGGTCCAACGGTTCAAGGTACATACTTTTTCGTACCTTGACAGGTTGACTGGATTGGTTTTGCTCCCCTTCCACTTCCCCAATTGGTGAGATCCCTTGGAGTCGACCTAGCACCTAGTGCTTCCAGTTGCCACTATAGGTCACCAGCGTAAAACATCATCTAAAACCAACAGGTAAGTTTCCGATGGTAACTGGAAGCATCAGGGGAGGTAAGATTCGTGTGCAGGGTACTTGGGCCACAACGGTGAGATCAACACTATCCAGGCTACGGGTGCGGCCCGGCTTTCGGAGTTTCCACCCCTGGGGGGTGTACTGGGATATACGGCTGCTTTCAAGGGTGGCAATGAGCATTGTCAGGAAAATACGCACTGCTATATTTAATTTGTCGCCTAGACACAGGTCTTATTTGGTCATACCCGCAGATGAAAAATGGTCACCTGGAAAGCACTTGTGATGGTTTTCTTGTGAAATCACCCTATCAGAAGGGACAGCTAAAACTGTATGCAAAGCACCCTGGTGGCACGCTGAATTTCAAAGGGCCCACCACGTTCACATCTGTTTGGATCTTCGTTTTACGGCCGGGACACCCTATTTGTTTTTATTGTAGCCTTTGTCACATGTTGAGGTCCCAGGCAGACCAGGGTTTCGATGCGCACCATAGTGTGAGCGATCCGGCGCGGAATGAATGCGGGGAACAGGGGGCCCACATGTTTTTGCCCACAGCTTGTGGCTTTGGATGAACCGCGGCTATTTGAGATCCTGCGTTGGCTTGAGGGAAAGCAATTTGCGCGGAAACAGTTGGGACCTTTTTTGGCAAATCCACGCAGAAAATGAGTAAGTCGGCGAGCCCCGCCCGCAAGTATAGAAGGCACTTCCCGACAGGCTTCCAAAAGCTTGTGCGTTGGCCAATTCTGGAAGAAGGCAAGCCTGGACCCTGAAACAACCAATTATGTAAATATGCTGTACGTGGTTGTTCCCATATAGCCATTTTCCATTGAGCAGTGTCTTCATAGGAAACACGTTTTGAACAAGCACTCGGTTGTTCAGGCCCACACGGATACTATGACTTACGCTACTCAAAACGTGTCATATGAAGGTATTGCTAGCTCACCAAGGATGATCATTTTCTCTTGGATCCCTGCTTTTGAGTTGGCAAAATGTTCCATCAGGTTTGATGGGCTGGCTAGTTCACAGGCAAGGAGCAAACCAGCGCAGGTTTTTGCAGCCTTGAAACTTTCTTTGCCTCACTGACCTGTTTTCTGGAAGCCGACAGGTTGGAAGGGGCTCAACTAGACAAATTGTTGCCTGCAACAAACCTGTGCGAAGCCCCAGGTGTGCCAGTGAGCATCCAGACCTATAAAAAATTGAAGCCACTGTTGCAAACTTATAGCTTGCAACTTGACTGCCACAAACTACGTAGCCTTCCATTTGATGAAACAAATATTTTGGTTTTCCTCTGGTTTGAATGGGGAATCTATCACCATTGGATATTTGTTCCAGTGGGCTTAAGCAAATGGAGCGAGCCCAAGGCACCCTAGGCTCCGTTGGCCAGGGCAACTACAACTGGACTCGTGCTCGCTCTGGTTCCTTCGAGCACCCGAACTTTGGCTACCGCATGCGGGAGGCGCTTGCAAGGGAGGCAACACAGCTTGCCACTTGTTAAGTGTTCGTGGCATTTTGTCCGAGTCATGGCCAAGAGAGAAAGTGGGTGCTGGATGCTCATGGAGAAGAGAATGTCAAACACAGGGATTGCAGAGTCGTCATCGCATAATGCTCACTCAAGGCAATATTTTTTTATGTGTTTTTTCTTTCTCTCTTTTTTTCCGGTAAACACATCAAGAACAGGGACCCGCCCGTAGACGTGTGGCAACCTCAGAGTTTTCAGGCATCCTTATGCGGCCGTTCATGTGACTTGACAGCAGGGACCATTCGCTTTCTTTGAGCTTCTTTTGGAGCAGATTCCCGGTAGCTTCCGAAGTTTGGATGTTCCAGGGCTGGGGGATACTTCAGCACTAGTCTGTGTAGCTCGCTAGGTTTTGGCAATGCTCTGTTGTTGAGGCCCGTCGCCCTTTCAAGGCGAGAAGCTTTATATATTTCTTCTGCAGCTCTGTTTTGTGATCAAAAGCGTTCGAAAGTTGAAAGCCTTCACTGGTCAGCAAGAACCAACCTTGTAATTTATACTGGCTTGTGGCTCCTGCTCTGCAGAAAGTTGCACCTAGACTCCCACCCAAGCACTACCTAATGAGGAAGCTCGCTCTGTGCCTCATCGATGGAAGGACCCTGTTTAAACAGTTTGGTGGTACCCATGGCCTAAAGGAAGCCTCTGTGAGGTGCTGCCGCCGTGCAGGGCGGAGAACAGTGACTCGGGGAACATGGATTGCCCCTCGGAGATGTTGCCGGGGTGGGTTGGGTGGGTTGGGTGGCGTGAGTCGGGTGGGTGGGGTGGGTGGGGGGTGGCGTGAGTCGGGTGGGTGGGGTGGGTGGGGGGTGGCGTGAGTCGGGTGGGTGGGGTGGGGGGCAAGCTCGTCAGGTGTTTGAGCCCTTTGGATTGCCGTACACAAATCAAGCGCGTTGGCGGCTCTTTCCCTCAACAACGGAAGTAGAAGGGGCTCTATCGAAATGAGTCAACCAAAACCCTGTTCACTTCCGGATAAGATCGTAACCTTGAAGCCCCAAGTTGCACTCAGATTCGTTGGGCCCTTCATCGCCTTCGTTTCGGATCGCCGCAACGGAAAAGGGCCCCATTGAGCAGAGCTGGGAAGATGATTGAATCCAGGAGGTCGTTTAGAATCGGCAGTGGTTTGAGCGTGTTATTCTCAAGGGTTGAATGGATGAATCGCCCAACCCAGCCACATCTTTGTCGGTGTTGGCGCAGGCTATCTGGAATTGATGCTGCGCTGTAATCGCGAGCTGCCGGAAGCGCTCATGATGATGATTCCGGAAGCCCACAAGGCCGCGAGGGTTGGGGCGTGGGTGTATAGGGTTTGTCTTGCAACCTGCTTCTTGAGGGCATTGGGCTTTGAGTGGTTTCCGAGTGACGGGGAGGTGTGGGGGCTGGTTTGCTCCCATTGCGTAAATATGGCCGGCATTTGCCAGCGTGTTCGAGAGCAAGCCAGAGAACATCTCAAACCCCACCAGAGCTGGACATGGAACCGTGGGGAGTACACAATTTCCCTACGGAAGGGCCCCCTTGAGGGCACGGTATGCCCCCCTTTTGGGGGTCCAAACATAAATGCTCCATGCCAGCGGCCTTCGGAGCCAGGCGAAAGCAAGCTCGGAGGATGTGGATGCAGTCGCCGAGTTCTACGAGTGCCCTCCCTACGGAAAGTACCAAATCAAGCCAAACGTAGATGGGCTAGAGATCCCCGTAGAACAACACACACACATATATATGTATATATATATATACAATTTTATAGGATGAACCAAGAATCCAAGAAGGCCATAGAGAGGAAGCCAAACCCCGACCCCAGGAGAGCAGACTCTTCCATTTCAGGGCTATGGGGATTTGGTTTGACCCACGAGCTGTACCCCCATCCGAGAGAGAATGCTTCGCTTTTTTGGGAACAGCCCCTCTATTCATCCACTTGGATGCTTTCTCTACGTTGTTGCCGGCTACAAGCGTTGAACATGCTGGGAAATGCGGGTTGTTTCCCCAAACAGTTAGAGTGTTTGGTAGCTGTCGTCCCCTCTATAAACATATTCTAGATTTTGCTGTAGACTTTATGCAAGACAGAATCAAGCTTATCATTTGCGGTGTACCTCAGATGTGGCGCTTGATAGCTTTTTGCAGGCCATCACAGACAGAAGCCCAGCTTACATGGTCGTTGCGTCACAAGTGGATGCATAGCCAACCTGTCCGAGCGCGGAAGGGTGGTTTCAAGTGTCACCTTTTGAACATTTTGGGTGTGTCTTTTTTGGGGGACCCCCCCCACCCCCCCCCTTGTTTTCTCCTAGGGCTGGTTTTTCAACTAGGGCTGGTCCCCTGGTTGGTTGGTTGGTTGGTTTGTTGGTTGGTTGGCTGGCAACATCCCCGGCATCACCAGTCTCACTTGGCCCTGGGGCCGCCTATTGGCTCTGATTTCGTAGAAGCTGGGAGTTGCTGCGGGCTGGTTTAAGTTAGGTCGGTTTTGGCTGGCTTAGATCTTCATGACATGAGGGCGGGTCTTGGCGTGGTTTGGGCTTGACTTAGGCGAAGCGAAGGGCTGTCATCCAGGCTGCTGTTGGGAAGGTGTCGGGTCGACTTTGAGTGGTTTTTGGTTGGCTTGGAGCTGATTTGTGTTAGGTGTGCTGCTGGTTTAGCAGCACCAAAACTCACTCAACCACACCTAAAGCAACGCTAAAGCTGCTGCTATACCAACAGCACACCAAACACAAATCAGCTCCAAGCCAACAAAAGCCCACTCAAAGTCAACCCGAAACCCGCCCAACAGCAGCCTGGATGTCAGCCCTTCGCTTCCATGAAAATCTAAGCCAGCCAAAACCGTCCTAACTTAAACCAGCCCCCAGCAACTCCCAACTGCCACGCAATTGGCGGCCCCAGGGCCAAGTGAGGCTGGTGATGCCGGGGATGTTGACAGCCTTTGCGGAAAACCAGCCCCAGGCAAAAACTAGAAAACAAAGAAGAAAAAACACGTTCCCCCGCCCCCCCCCCCCCGCCAACAATAACAGGCAACAACATGGGGTTTGCCTTGTCGTTTTTCTTTAAAACCACATAAAAGGGGTATTTCTGTTTGAGGCAGTTCAGCTTGTGGCTTTTCGAGCGGGGGAATGGTTTTGAGAAGGGCCCCCTCATTCCCACAACTGCACGCCAAGGACCCCCAAACAGTCTGGACTTTATGCGCGCTGTTGCCACCCAACTGTTCGTCAGGCAATTGGTGATACTTGACGGGAACAACTGGTTTTCACCCCTTGCAATGCCCAACTGGCTGCCGCAGCCAAAAGGCTTTGTCACAACATGTTGCTTCAATTCCCCTTGAGTTGCTCGGTTCACTCAGCTCCCATTGCAAAAGGGCTCCCTGCATTTCCCCTTTAAACTTCTCGCCAAAAGGAAACTCACTGGCCCAACAGAATCCAAAAGTTGACATGTCGAGCGGCCGAAGCGCTGATCGGCTGAGGTACTGGGGGGCTTTGCAGGAAGCTTGGGATGGCCCCGCATTGGTGGCTTTCTGCGACGGGGAGTACATGGGCCACTTGGCACAGAATTAGAAGACGTCAACGGGTGGGGTGGCGTTGGTTTTAAGGCAAACCTGGCAAAAATCTGATGGGGACGTCCATCCCAACCAGAGTAGGCGCGGCCTGTGCCCTTCTGACTCTTGGACACGGATCTCTTTTGGACTCGGTGAAAAGCCCAGGTCTAATACCTGTATTTCCTTCATGGTTGGCTCGCTTCTTTCAAACCGGCGCAGAAAGAACATTCTTTATTTGGAACCAAGGGGTCCTTGATGAGATGGGTCCCAAGGTGTACGCGGGGTCGCCCATGGTTCTATCGTTAACTTCAGTATTCTGTTCAGGGATCCTTCTTTCGAAAAGCCGCCACACACTCAGGAGAAGCGGGCGTTAAACGAGCGAGGGCTGAACATGGGTAGTAAACCGCTAGAGGTAAGGAGTCCGGGTGTTAAAAAGTGGGTCTTCAAAGCAAAGAGAGGAACCGTTACTGTGCCCAGAATTTTCAGCCAGTGGGTCTGACAACCGCTTCTCCAACTCGTCGCCGTCGATTTGCTCGAGGCGCCGCCTTGGATCGCAACGGCCTGCGCCCGGCGCGGTACGTCCAGCTCAACGCCACCCGGATTTCGAGCGGATTTCATGCGAGAAATGGATGGGACGGACAGGGGCTCGATACTCTGCTTGGTGAAGAGTTATCTCTAGCCTAGTTGCTCATTGGGTTCTACACGGGTGGCTTTGAACATCACCTGATGGCGTGTTGCTCAAAGGGAAAACTCACTTCTGGTGGATCAAGCCCATCTCCCCCCGCTCTTGTTGCGTTCTTGTTGGTAAGAAAACTTCCGATGAACGCTAGAAACATGGCATGGGTGATAATTACTTGCCGAAAGTTACCTGCAGTTGCCCATATGTCATGTGTTATTTTGTTCCGGAATGGTTAAGGGAGCACTCGCTAAACAACTACAATTGCGCCACAACCCTCTTGTAATTGATTTTATTCTCCCTGTTGCCCCCACCCCCCCGATATGGACACTTGGTGTCTATTTTGCAAATTGGTGTTCCCCAACGGGTAGGGGTATCCCTGCGGTTCCAGTTTCCCCCCCCCCCCTTGAAAATGGATTTGGGGGAGAGAGGTGACGGGTAACCGGGAGGTTTCAGGTCGGGTTTCATGCACCATGTTTCAAATTATCGCACACATGCGCTGCAATGTGTACATATTAGGGCTTGCCTCTATCAATAGTCAATAAATTGCATGCCTTCTTTGCGCGGTTGGGGGCGGACCATACAGGCTTACCGACTCGGCAACATCCCCTAATTCTGGGGAACGTTCACCCCCAAATTGGTGGTAAACTGTGAGGGAAATTGGGTGTACATGGGAGAAATGTTGGCCGGGTAAACTACCCCCAACATTGGGGTAAATTACCACCAAAATTGGGGTAGCTTACCCACAAAATTGGGGGTAAATTACCCACAACATCGGTCTAAATTTGAGGTAATTCGTGAGGCTTTTTATATATATATATATATATATGTATATATATATATAGATATGTGCAGATGATTGCGCATACACATTTATGTATGTATGTTTGTATGTATGTAGGTATTTTTCAATATTCTTGCATCAGTATGTCTATTAGGGCATACTCACGCATCATGTGTGCGCATGCCCGGATAGGTCAATATTTGTGAATGCGTAATTGCGGGCAAGCATGCATAAGTGCAAATGCGCCTGGGAATGCACAGATCATCCCAAATACAATGGGTAGATAGGCTTAGCTGCACATGTGTGTAGAACTTCCCTTGTAGGAGGGCTTTTGGGAAGTAGCTGCGTCAAGGGCGGCAGAATGCTGCTTACAGTGGTAAATTGTGGGGTCCCTTGTGCCATACTTGCAATACTTAGACTGTTGTCGCAGGTGACTCTTTTACCATGACCCATGCTGTTGGTTGTTGGTTTCCCTTGCGCCAGATCCTCGGCAGCGCGACCCGCATTTGAGGCCTGATAGAACCCCCACCCCGCGAGTACGGGATTGGGGCTGATCTACACCAAGCATTTTTTTTAGCGGGAGGGCGGCCCTATGCCTTGGGCTTTTTGGAGAGGGTACCGGGGGCGGGGGGGGGGGGGTTGACAAACATTTTTTGTCATTTCATGGCAGTGCATGCACTGCATCCTCTTCGTAGGGGTTTTCTGGGGCGGTAAATAACATTTCAGGATCCTTTTTGAGTTTGTGTTTCAGCCATCGCCAGCCGATTGAGCATGCGACAGCCTCGGTTTTTGAATGACAGGGGAGCAAAAAAGATAGCCAGCGGTTTTTAGGGATCCTGTACTTTAGGATGTGCAGGCAATCACTCAGATGGGCAAGGTTATTTGGGAACCGTCCCACTTGTCCGGATGGACGGCTCTCTGGGGATTGGGCGCATTAAAGAAACACGAGAGGCGCTTCCGACTGAGAGTGGGAGATATGTGTTTTTATATCACCAGGACTCCTGCCCTCCAGGGGTTTGATGCCAACATATTCCAACTATTCTGTTCAACCATTGTTGCAAACACCAGCCGTTTCCTCCGTTTTGAAAAGAGGGATCCCTGAAAAGAATGGTAAGCTGGTTTAGAAATTGGGGGGTCCCAGGATGGAACCTGCGTGGTGAGCTCGGAAACGGGGATCTTGGAGTCGAGCCTTTTCCCGGCCGACACTTGGCAGATTCGCACGAAATTCGTTTTTGGTGTTCGTCCCTTTGCCCACATTCATTCCTCTGCGTATTTTATGGGTTTTGAGCTCACTGAAAGAAAAACAAGTGATGGCCATGGGCCATGATGTAGGCTTTACTTGGGGATCCCTCATTTACGGTTTTGGATTTATTGTATATAGAAACATCTTTACCAGTACGCAACAAGACCAGGCGTCGCCATGATTGACCCTCAACACATGCCTCACCATTTAGTCGGCAAGCTTTGGAAGCTAGATTTCCTCATCATTAGTGAACACCCAACAAGTTTGAACCATGTCAGTTTCTTCCCCCTTTCTGGGTGATGCGAACGCCCTGCGCATTGTAAGTATGTGAACGGCCGAAACACAGTACTCACTCTACCGGGTTTGTGGTCGGATGTGGATAGTTTACTGGCAGCATTGTAGGAAACCCATAGTTTCTCAGTATTGAGGGCAAAACACATTCCCTTCAGACAACTTTAGGCGACTTTAACAACTGTAGGACCATCTTTTACTGAGCTTCCTTTTGGAGGGGTGATGTACGGTGAAATCTACCTCACTCGGAGCGGTGTGTGCTGGCTGAGCCTTTGAGCTGTCGTTCCCCATGAGACGCCTGAAGGTTTCTTCTTACCCAACAGCGTTCGGTGCTAACCCCACCACAGCAAAGAAAAAAACCCGACCAGTGACATGGTCCATTTGAGCCACGCAACTACCCAAATGCGAGTCATCGATCGTGTGGAGCCCGTGGTTCCAAGAAGCGAGCCCAAGGAATTCAGCCAGAGACCCATCAAACACAAGGGAGCTCGTTGATTCTTCGAAGAGACTGGAGCTTGATGTTGTCGTTTTCGGCATTCGGACCTTTATCCCACGATGGTGCCATGCGCATTCGAAGCGAAACGTCCTTCAAGACGGGAACCCACTTGTTTCAGCATCCTTCTAGCGCCCTTTGCGTTCTATTCAGGGGATTCTCTCTTCGGAAACGGGCCCAAAATCCAAACACCCAGGGAGAAATGAGTGGTTTTTGAACACAAGGATGGGTGAATGGCATCGTGAATCAACCATGAGAACCCTTCGCCAACTTGTCAATACAGCCTCGCACCTGTTGGACGATTTTTGGTGCAGGTTTCTCGGAGATGCCCCCAACCCAAACCTCATGAGGCGGGCCTTACACAACGTGTTTTAGTTTGATCTTTTCCATGGCAGGGAGGGTGGGCTTCACAGACATCACATGATGCGAGTGCTGGGCAGGAATGAGCGAAACGCGTACAGCTCATATTTAAGATGCTTAGTGGCAAATACAGGCGCAAAGCAATACTGCAAAGATTGACAACTGCAGTTCAGGCAGGCAAGGAGTGCTCTCTAGCGTAACGTGGAGCTGAGCAAGCCACTTAATTTGGAGCCCATTGTAAACAGGTACCCCCCGAAGAAACAGGATGCACGCGCATTCTTGAAGAGAAGTCTCCTTTGGCGGAATGGGTCTTAAAAGGGGCATGTAAGGACCTTGGGATCTCCCTCCCTTTGGCCATGATGCCAAACGTCCGCGTGCGTCAAGCGCTTGGTGTCCAAGGAGATGTTCAAGTCCAAGGGACGTTTGGGGCCTGGCAAAATGGTGGCCATCGACCTCCACACCGGCAACTCGGCCTAAAACGCCTCCAGCCAACAGTTAACACGAAAGGTCGACAAGTGGTTTGAGCGAGGCTTGAAATCCAGCTCAGGTTCTGGCACCCACAAGGCGTAAGAGCGTAAGGGCCGATGGGACCCAGTGTCCAAGAGGCATTGGTATACGGGTTGGTTGAGCGAAACAACTAATTTTGGGAATCCCATGCAACCCCGTACTTCGAAGCAAAGCCATATGTTTACGTCTCAGCCCCTTAAGTGTCCAACTGGCTAGTTGTTTATTTATACTGCCCTTCCAGCCACCAAAAAGGCGCCCCCCAAACACAGTTTCAGTTTTAGTCCATGTTCGCCTTCCACAGGCGGCGATGTGTTTTCGGGCTCCCATTTTGGAAGGGGCTGATATGGGCTGATCTACGCGGCAGGAAGTCCCCAACTGCTCCCCAGCGGTGAGTTGCCTGGAATTGTCGTGTGTTTAGCACCTTGCCACTAATTGGTCGTTTGGACGTTGGGGTATGCGCCCTATTTGGTTTTCAATGGCGCCACCTGTTGTTTGGTTGGCATGTTTTGATAATTGTGGACTCCGGGGCCCAGTTGTGATCAGGGAGCTTGCATTTTTAAACAGCTATATAGTCATGGAGTCATAGGGATTCCAGCGGGCCATTCGATTCATGCGCTGCGCCGGCCTCTCTCGGCTTGAGACTTAAGGGCGTGCGCTCAGAACTCGTGAGGCTTGCCTGTCATGAAAATATTTGTTGTATATACTTGCTTTTTCCAGCCACGGGTCATGGCAGTTTCAAGCTGCCCGCTTCGAAACACGCAACCCGGCATGAAACACATCGAGCTCGTGTCTTGTTCTTTTCGCGCGGCCGGTTTTTGCCGCCTTCCTTGGGGATCTAGGACCCGAGGCCCCAGCCTAAAGGCAGGAGCTGCGTCAGGAGGCACTCCAGTTGGCGCCATGGCGGGGAACGAGCCGTTGCTTGACGCCGGCTCGAAGGCCCCGATGCTATCTCCCGGGCTCTTGGCCGCCCGGCTCCGGCCAGAGGGCGACTTTTACGGCCGTCGCATTGTGGAACATGTCCGGTATTCCTGAATTTGTGGTTTTGGTTGGTGGTTTGGAGGTTTGAACCCCTGCATCTTGCAGAGGGTAAAGGGCAAACTACCCTAGCCACCAAGCCACCAATCTAAACCAGCAATTGGAGGAAGCTGCTTGTCCCAACAAAACCCCATTGCCTGATCACGGGGTTACCAGGGTTGGGCGATTCGACCTCTTGCTTGATATCGGCAGTGAAACAGCTGATTTTTGGGTTTCCCTTTAAAGGTGGCCTGGTTGTTCAAGCAAATTTTGCGCAACCCTGACGCCCGCCCCCCCCTTTTTGCTTTTCCTTTTTGTCCTCACCAAACCTTTGGTGTGGCGTGGGGGCGGGTTTCATCACCGTTTTGTAGCATTTGATCACTGAAATGATGATAAGCAGATTGGTGTTTCCCTCCACGATCGGTGACTACTGTGGGCACGTCAGATTTGATACTTCTTCGGCTGATTTGCCGGGGTTGGGCCTGTTTGCCCTTTGCCTTCTTGGGCCAAGCACCGGCTGTCAAAGCTGCAGAGCAACATTTGAGAAAGGCCATGTTGGCCCACGTCAAGAACCCCCCCCCCCGGCCCAGTGCGTCAGCTATGAATCAAGAAAGCAGGATCCGCCTTTTGTCCCATCTCCTGTGGTTTTCTTTCTTGTACATCCAGTGGAGGCCAGAGTTTGATATCCTTTCAGTAGATCTTGCAGCTAAGGGCTGCCGCCATGTGCCGCCGACCCCAATCTGAACACATTTTATCATATCATAACATACATACATACCTACCTGCCTACCTGCCTATCTACCTACCTACCTGCAGACATAATACAATACATTACCCCAGGAAGCATTGCATTACATTGCGTACATTACATTACACTACATTACATTACATTCCATATAACTGCATAACATACCAAAACAGTACATTACATTGCGTTACATTACAGTACATGACATTACATTCCATACATACACGCCCACACGCATATGTATACAAATGCATGTGCATTCTTATACAAATCTAAATCTGATGTTTCTGGGGTACGGATGCTGCAACAAAATAACCTCACATTAGAGCCAGACTTGCAGAGGGCTTGAAGCCGACCCATATTTTGCGCGCCCGTTTTCGAATATGACAATGATCTATTTGTACTAAAACACTAGTGATGCTGGGGGTGTCGATCACTTTTCTAGAAAATATTGTGTCGTTTGCATTTTGCAAGCGGAAAACCATCGCCTTTAATTATTGAAACACGGGTGATGCTGGGGATGTCAGGTGCTGGGATGCTAGACATGTCGCCTTTTCGCATCCCCAGCATCACGGGCTTGGCCTAACATCCCCTTTGAACAAAATACAAAAAGAAAAGAGACCGGATGCAGCAGCAACATCCCCAGCATCACTAGCAGGGCCTGGAATTTGAGCCACCAATGATCAGCTAAACATGAATTGTTGATGGCTGATTTGTTGCCACCATTCCCGCGCGCCTCCCCTTCTGACAAGAAGACGTCGGCGAATCGTTTTGATACGACCAGTGTCAAACAAGCTCGGCTCCACTAGACCGCGCCCTCCGTTTCCCCTCTGCTTCCCCCCGCCTTATTCTTTGGGATAGCGGTTGGCTGCCTGGATTCTAATACAATAACTGAGTAAACTGATTCAAGTAGTGGTATGATGCCAACAAACCACCTGCAAATACCCCCACCCATCCACTGTCCCCCCAAGCTTTTAGGGGCCACCCTAAATTGTATCAGGGCCTTCTGTTTCTTTTTTGATTTTTCTTTTTGTTTCTTCTCGGGGAAGGGGCCTGAAAAAATCGCTTCGGATAAAGTTCCTGAGGCGATGATCGCTGGGGCCTTCTTCTTCTCGCTGATGGCTCTGCTGGTGAAGCTCCTAAGCAACTTCGGGACCTACGAGTTAGTCTTCTGGCGCTCCGTGTTTATGCCCCTTGCATGCAGAAAAATAAAAACTCAGCTTCCGTCCAATTGGCGGTTTGAGTTGTGTGAGTTGGTGGCAAAGAAGGGGTTTCCCATTTACCCTTAGTAGTGGTTCAAGTTCCCAAACCACCCCAATGAAGGGCTGCCTCAAAGCCAGTGTGCTCTACTTACCGTTAAAGGCCATGTGCACATCTCTACCCGCACTCATGGTTCGCCGTCGGTGCCATTATACCCAAAACGCGACGTGCTAGTGGGATTCGCGCAGCGCGCACGCCCGCGATGCCATCAATCGCAGCCGTGCCAATGGGAAGAACTTGCGGCACCTCCAGCTCTTGTCATAGCACCCCGCGCGCGCGCGGAATCTTCCAGTGGGAGTTGCGTGCCGCACTACACTCGCTCACAGCTGCTTCAAAGAGGATTCAAAGGAACAGCTGTTCCTTGGGTCCCCTACATTCTGTACCAAGAGTACTAACAAACAGCAGGACACCGCAGATCGTTCCCTAGACGGAAGCAAGCTGAGTAGCATTGGTTTGCTGCTCGAACAATATGGCTTGGCAAAGCGACATGTCTACTATTGTTGTTGCGAACTTTCCAGGGATCCTTCTTGTCATGTGGCCGAACATCCCAGTAGAGTTTATGCGGGTTTCTCAGATGAAGCTGAGGCTCCGAGCCGTTGCTCGATTAAGGTTTAAGGGTAGCAGATGGCTCAACAACTTTCATGTGGTTTCCCTTGGACCCAATCTTCAATTTGCGTAAAATTGGAATCGGACCCTCAGAGCATTGGATTCCTTCTTTCATCCAGAATCAAACGGTACCCTTAGCCTGAACAAAAACACCAGTTTCTAATCGGGCTTTTGGAGCAACACCGGAGCCCGGCGACGCTTGCCTTTTCAAGGGGATGCCAGAACGGGCCCTAAATTTGACAATGGCGCGAGTCACAGCGAGCACACACACATATTATTCTTGCCAAATTGTAAATGTAACGAGCTCGCCTGATCCCTGTAAAGGTACTTTACTCTTGGGGATTCATGACTTCCGATTTGTGGTACTTTGCCTAGACACCGTAGAAAACACAACAAAGAACACACACGCAGAACGAAAACAACAGAGCAACAACACGCCAACTGCACACCTTCTCCTTCCAGCGTCGCCCTGGGCTCTGACCGCATACTTCCCTGCCAACCAGCTATGAGAAAGCAAACCTAAAGAGGCGTTATTGATGTGTTGGGGGTGTACCCCTTACCGGCCAGAGCCGGTTTGTCCATGTCTGAGTTGAACCCATTGCCATTTCGAACCCAAATATGGGGGGGGGCAGCTTGCTGTAATTCGCCAGATTCGACGGTTAATAGGGTCCATGGACTCTCCTTGCATCTCCCCCTGGAACATCACCTTACCAACGTGAAGCCCACTTTGAATTGGGCAGAAGTTCAAATGTAATGTTCCGTCCTACTCCTTTTGTGGAAATTTCAGGCAGCATGTCCATGATATCCTTCAGCCCTCGCTTTTTCGGCGTGCGCTTTAGCCCTCGATTGCGTACCATAGGTTCGTGGGCACCATGTCCATCCTCTTCGCCAAGGGCATCAACCCCTTGGGCCCCAAGGAGAGCCGACTGCTGCTTTGGGTCCGTGCGGTCGCCGGCTTCGGCTTCATGAGCGACTTGTACTAATTTCTGGGTTTGGCGGGACCCGGCTGAGAAGGAGGATCCAGTAGCTTCACCAAATGGCGAGTGCTTGCGTTTGTTGGGTTATTGTTGCCTGAGGTAAGTAGTCATATATGCATTTAGGTAGAACAGGGACGTGATAGTGATCTACATAGACATAGATAGATAGACAGATTGGATAGATAGATAGATAGATAGATAGATAGATAGATAGATATGTGTGTGTACAAACATACGGACAATTAAATGGGACGTGTATGATGATATGTCAGACTAGATTCACCGCCTTTGATTATGATTTGTATGTTTAAATGGGTTTGCGTCGATTGGGGAGGTTGTGTGCATTCCGGG